AGACACCATGCCAGAGTGCAGGGCTTTCTACATGTGTCCTTGAGAAAACAGCAGTGTCTGTGGCTGTCAGTGGATCAAAGCTGCTGTGAAAGTTATTTACAGGAAAACATTAATCGAACTTTCTTTGCATAAACCCTGAGCCATTTTAGATGCTATCATAATTTCCCCTTGGCCCAGTCCTTCTGCTGTACTTCACCTGCGGTGCAGCCTGCCTCATCTGTGCCCCGATTCTCCTTGTGACAGCTGCTCCCTGTCCCATCATCTATCCCATCATCTACACAGTCAGCCTTATTTTCTCCAAGACCGTGGATCTTGGCCCTGCCTCTTGTGCAGCTCCCCATTTCCTTTCCGATACCCTCCCTATCTTCTAATCCAGTTGTGTCTAAGCCAAGCCACTGAGCCTGTTTTTTATTTCTGTAGCTTTCTGGGAACAGGCATTCCCACAGGGCTTCCTTCCTGCATCTTTACATAGTGTCTCCACCACCAGGGAAGCAAGGCAGAGATGAGTGCCTAAAATAATGCTAATGGCAAGCAGAGCAGAGCTGCCCCTGGGCATGGACACAGCAATGGAGGACTTCTAGACAGGATGGATGGCTTTGGGGGCTGGGGAGACAGGTGATGGACCAGCTGACTAGAGAAGGGGGATCAGACCGGAAAGGCAGCTGGGGCCTGAAGGAATTGCCCTGGAGAAAGGGATCATTGGTATGAGACTGCTGCTCCCCTCCCTGTATAAACCGAATGTGATAACACAGGCAGGTGTATCTGTGTGTTATCAGCATGGTAGCTCTGGACCATCTAGGGCTAGCAGCGCTGCTTGTCCCCCTTTGGAAAGCCTGGGCATCGCTCTTTTCCAGTGATGTAAAACTCCCATCTCTAGTTGTGCAGGGGGAACTGAACTTGCTATTAGGAAGGGCAGGGGGTGAATGAGGTGGGCAGGACTGACAGCTGGCACCTCTCATGTAACTTCTTCATTCTTCTGCTTTGATTCTTGAACATGCATATGTCTTCGGCGTGCACTGCACAGAGCCCAGAGTCCATAACACTGAGGGCCGGGAGAGGAGGAATTGCCTATAGCCACTCAACCCTGCTGCTCCGGTGCCAGGGGATATAGATACCAGGGAAACCATGCCATGTTCAGGACAACCATGCTGGTGTGCAAGATTTAAGGAGCATGAGGCAGGGCTGTGCCACAAAATGCAGGGCACTCAGCACGTGCTGAAGCAGACTGCAGCTGCCTTCCTTAACGATGTGGAGGTGGGCCCTGTCTCATCATGCAGTGTCCCATCTTGAGCAGCCAGCTTGCTGGGAGCAAGATGGAGTGTTTCATGCTGGAACCTGTTGCCTCTGTGAACCTCCCTCCATATTGAGAGAGAGCAGCTGGGAGCCATGTTGAAGAAACCTGTCTCGTGTCTTGTGGGCTGCACTCTGGCCATCCCAACCCTTCATCTCACCTTCTGGCTCTGGTCTTCTCTGACATCTGGAGTGATTGACTGGTCCTCCTGTCACTCTGATTTGTGTGCACTTTAATTACAGGGATTCCTGAAAGCCTTCCCTCTTTACTCAAGACCATGCTAATGGGGAAGCTGTATTTTCTCATAGTGTCACTAATGAACGGTTACAAAACCCTTCCAGAGCCTCGAGACCAGAATGAAATCGTATCAAAGCGCCGGTCCGAATTGCAAGACTTTCCCACTGGCTGGTATTTTACAGCCCACTGGCCAATTTCTAAATCATACATGTTAATTATTTCTGAATTCTTTTGTGTACAGCTAATGAAGGCCGAAAAGGATCTTTTAAATAGTTACAAACACCATAGGCTGCAAAGATATAATTGAGGTGACAGGCACAATTAGCCATCCATAATTCCTTAGAGCAGCTGATTAAAGTCTCTTTATCCTTCTTACCGAGATCAGAAGGTCACATATTTGGGAAATATAAAATGAATGAGGGACTGTCAGACTGTCCCAGGGAGTCATTCACATGTGGTATTAACACGAAGGTGTGCTTTCCTTGGACACCCTGGTTACAAGCAACTAGGAATCAAGACAGCATCCAGGCATCACCCTAGCTAAAATAACATGGAGACCAAAGTGTCCACTGTGATGCATAGGGATTAACCCTTTCCTTTGAACAGTCTGTTAGCCCAGTGCATGCCCCAACATTTGGATTTAGATGGCGAAGGCAAAGCTATTTAACAACAGATTTCTTTCCTTTCTAAATTGATTGCGTGAGTTACAGTTCTGGCTGAATGTGCTTTGCCAGCTTTTAATTTGTGCGCTTGCACAGGGACTGTTCTGATGCCTTGGGAGCAGGATCTGTGGAGGCTTGATGGGGAGCATATTCCAGATGTGGAGCCCCGCTCCAGGGAAATGCTGTCAGGGGGGTGTTAAGGAACAGAATGGGGTGGGGAGCTGGTGCATCCATCGCTGCTTGAGTCCATTGGCCGCTGCCCCTTGCAGAGTTGGGAGTACAAGCAACAATATGCAGGCTGATGCAGTAACAGCCACAGAGAGAGTGCGGGATTACCTGCCTGGATATCCCCAGGGTTCAGCCCTGGTACTGGGAGCTGGATGTAGGATTAGGTCATTAGTGCTCATGAAAGATTCTAGGTTAGCAGCCATGGAGCCTGAAGTCCTAAGGCACATAAAAGCGGGACAGCATCTGTGCAAACAGCCCCTATTGCCCCACTAACGTGCCTCCCCCTGAGCAGAAGGGGTCACCCCTGCAGCATATGAGGAGAGCTGATTGTTCACGGCTAGTCAATCCTTGGCCTCTGCTGGCAATGCCAACAAGCACTCTCCTTGGCAGCTGCAGATTTGAACTTCCTCATTGCATGTGGGCGACTACTGAAATCCTGATGGATCCTCCAGGCGTGACCCCCTGGGCCCGAGGAATGAGTCCAAATGGGTCATTTACCAGAAATGGCAACCCCTAAAGCAGCCCAAATTCGAGATAACCACAGCTACTTAAACACCCTCTCTCTGCTCGTTGCCACTAGCGGTTTCGCAAACCCATTTCCATTTGTGGGCGAGTTGCAGAAATGGAAATTCCAAGATGAGCCTCTGTCCTGGCAGGGAACTTCTGTCCTGGCACTCCCAGCCCATTGACTCAGAGATAAGTGTGCCAGCCACTATGGCGACTCCTGTACGTTTGTTAGTCCCTTCCTCTGCAGTGGTGATCATGCGCCCAGCTTAGTGCTCACGAGAGACCAAACAAACTCTGCTGGGCAAATCAACACTTTCCTTTGGTGGGGACATTTTCTAAGTTCCACGCAGCTTTTGAGAGAATTAGATTGTCCCATTGCTGGGGAGAAAAAACAGGATTCTATGTCAACCATGATGGGATGTTTAATCTGAGAGGGGTTTGAGTGAAGCCACTAGCCTCACTGAGCATCAGACTCTCTGCTCAGTTACCCAGGTGTAAATCTAGACAACTTCCATTGACTTTAGTGGAATGATTCTGGCTTTACTCCAGTGTAACTGAGGTCAGATCTGGCCCTTGGTTCTGTGGACTTTTGACTGGGCACAGTGGGCCTGATTCTCCTGTCTCACTGGTGTGAATTTGGAGCGACTCTATTGAAGCCACTGGACTGGGCCAGGAAGAGTAGAATCTAGCTCATGTATCCATTTTCTCCATACTGTAGAAAAGAGTTTATTGTGGAAGTTGATTCAATATGAAAGCGGATAAGGGAAATCCTTTAAACGTTGATTTGCAACATTCTACAATTCTGTTCTATATATGCCTGCTATGTCTGTTTATCTAGTTATTAACACTGATTTAATATGAAAACTGTAACCCGGAGCTGAGAAACCTAAGAAACACTGGAGAAATTTGATATTGTATGTTTAGCCTTCTTCCAAAGGATTAAAAGTGTATCTGCGATAGTAGAAAATCCGCAGACCTGCAACAAAGAATCCCAGGTATTGATGCTAGTCTTGAGTAGTCACAGAAGCTGGGTGGGTCAGGGGAAGATTCACCGAGCCACACAGAAAGCTTTGGGCAGGAGAGAGAGGAAGGCTTTGGTTAGCAGGGGAATCCTGTTTACCTGTAGACTAGCCAAGGTCAGAGAAGGCGCCATATTTCTGAAGAGAATCCCTGAGCCGTAGGGGAAGGATCCTAGACACCCCAGAAGCCTCTGCCCAAGCCCAGAGTACACCCCACAGTGGTGAGGAAACTGAGGCAGGGGAGAAGACTATTAGTTTGTTTTTGTGTACCTTTGGGTATGTCTTGTGCTAAGTAAAGAGCAGAGGTGTTTAGAATCCTTGTCATTCAACAGAGGGGAAGTAACAATACACGTAAACCCTGATTCAGCAGAGCATTTCAGCACACATTTAAAGGTAAGCCTGTTCTTACAGGACTTGCTGAACTGGGGCCAATAAGGTCTGACAAAAATCCTGTGAAGTCAGTGGATAGGGAGGGGTCTCTCCACAGGTGTCAGTGAGCTATGGATCAGGCCCAGGTGGTTGTTTTCTAACCTGTAGGTGACTAGTTTGGATTGCACAGAGGACACAACACTCATACTAAACTCGGCCCTGGTTTTCCCCCAAAGCCCATTTCTTTGTTCTTCATCTTTGCACACACCTCTCTGCGGAATCTGACACAGCTTTGCCACTTATTTTGCTCCTGTTTAATCCTCTCCAGAGAGACTGCCAATTAAATGAGTCACTGAGAAACGACTGAACACAACTTGGCTCAGTTAATTGATTCACATTCTCCTGACCTTTGATTGGTTGAGAAGAATCTGGTTTCCGACAGTCCCTCCCCCCGGAGGTCTGTGATTGGGGGTGAAAGTTCTGAGCCCCCCACTCCTTTTATTTTAATGTTCTTTGCCAAAGCAGGGAATAAACTGTTTTGAAGGAAGATGTGCTACTCCAAATCCAGCTCTAGAGCTATGTGAGTGGACTCACCTTCCCAAGGAGCTGTTATTCCAGAGAGACTTGTTAGTTAGATAGATCTGTCCACGCTGAGACAATTAAACCCAACCCTCTTTCCTTTCAGAGATGAAGGAGCTGGCTAGAGAGAGCATCAGCTTGTTAGCCAAGCCTACTCTGGAGTCAGGTAGCCCAAACCTATCCTCTGCCGGGGCTGTCTTTATTATGCTGAAATCATCTCTTGGAGCAGGACTTCTTAATTTCCCATGGGCTTTCAATAAGGCTGGAGGGATCACTGCAGCTGTTCTTGTGGAACTGGTAAGTGACAAGTAAATATCCCAGGGTTTCTGTAGAGTGATTGACTAGTTCACTGGACTGGGCAAAGATTCTGTGTTAGTGGCGAAAAGAAATCCTGTAGCTTAATCTTTCTCTAGTGGTAACGAATAGCTTTCTGTATTTCCCCCTGTTCCTCCCACACTCCCTGTCCCCCTCAGCTCCTATAGAGTGTCTCTTTGCTGTAAGACTGCCCTCGTCCCCTGCCCTCTATGCCCCACCTCTTACCTAGCAGTGGTACTAGCTAGTAACTGTAGAGCAAAGACAGAGTAAAGAGGTGAGTTCAGATTGCACTTGGTCAGCTCAGTGGTTTACTCTGTAATTAGGGGAGGGTGCAGGGAGTTAAAAAGAGTCCATAGCCAGTCCCTGTTGGGGATTGTGTGTCGATGTATAAATGTGACAAACACTGTGCTGATCGCTGTGCTTGGGTATCCTGTGCCTCTTCTCTGCCCTGTGTCTGTCACTGAGCTCCTTTACACCCCCGTGCTGCCAACGCACGAGCACATGCTCCAAACGAAGCATGGGAATGTTTGGAATCCGGGGCCTCAGACTGTAAGCTCTTTGGGGCAGACCTCTGTAGCATCCAGCACAAGAGAACCCCAATTCCAACTAAGGGCTGGAGCCTTTAGCTGCCACCAAGTAATCAGAATGGAGACTCCTATCAACTTGGTACAATTATTATGGGAGAATATGTTACATAAAACCCCCAACAAAATGTACTTGTCTAACTTGTGAAGAAATGGAAAGTTTTGTAAAAATTGCTAAGGAATACATGATCATAAAAGCAATTTACGAACTAATTGGGTTGGTAATTGAGGTGAATGAGGATGATAGAAATGAGGTGTATACATAACTTTCATCCAACATTCTCATATTAAAAACAAATTATTCTTATGATTTGAATAATAAATGGAGAGAGATTGGCTCGAGCATTCAATAAGTTTCAGTTTATATATTACCAAAAGTACATTAACCTTTGATGGTAAAAACACCCGATAGATCTGACAGACACAGATTCAAGTTCGCAACCTTTTTCTCAGTTTGTTTTACTTTTTTTATAATAAAGACCATATCTATATAATTTCCCTTCTATCAAGAATAGTATAGATTTTTATAATTAAAAGTCAGTGGGGGGGGAGTCATAATTTTAATTTTGGCAACATTAAGCATGACCAACTTGTGTGCACTGATACCATTTCCTAGTGATAGGACTGATGCAACTATATCTTGTTTGAATTCACCTTTTCTGGATGCTCCACATTAACGTAGTTCTTATTCATTGAAATTCTAGACTTGTGGTAGGTGAGGTGGATAGTTACGGGGACAGAGATGGCATCCCTGTATGGAAATCTGTGGGTATGCTGTGCGTGGGTATGACCTGTCTATTGGAGGATTTTAAATTATTTGTTCATATTGCCGGTAATTGAGATATGTAAGAGAGAGTTTTCTACTCTGCCAGTGAGATTTCTTGATTAATTGAAGCTTTTCCAATCAATTATCCACCGACTCCAATGCCACGTTTTTCTGCAAAGTTTGATTAAAATAACATTGACTTCTTTGCACAATAATCTAATTCTCCTTCAGCTAGAGGTACACAATTACCTTCTTGTCTGTAGTTTCCAACCAGTAACCAAAACATTTCCATGTTCTCAGTTAGCTTCAACACCTATAGAAATCGGTGAAAAGGCTCCCTTCGATGGAACGGGTCTTTGGGTTGGGCCTCACATCAGCATAAAATAAATTTAAGATAATTGGAGAGTCTTCAACTTGAAAATGCAGGATTTAAGGAATCTGAAGTGAGAGAGATCATGATATGAAGATCTTGAATGGGACCCAAATGAATGAATTACAGGGTGATGGAAGTGTACTAAGTTACAAAAATTCTGAAGAGTAAGACAAACACCTAATTTTCATTTATACTGATAGAATCGTTAACAATTATTGAGCAAGTTTTAAAAGTTGGTAAAGGAGGAAAACAAATTTTTTTGTTGCACAAGCATTTTTGTATTAACAAATCAAAGATATTCAGTGTCGGATGTACAAAATCAGAATTTAAGTAATCTATTAATGAGGTGCTGTTTATGCATTAATCATGTTTATTGGCATAATATGCATTTATTATCCTCTAGCTGGTAAGAGTTCTTATGAGATCACACAACTTGTGTAACAGACTCTGCAATTTATTGTGTGAAATTTTCTTGCGGCTTAATATTGGTGAGACAATAACCATTAAAATCAAATATGAAAACACACAAAAGCACAACTGATGGGCAGCCATGTCCTCACAAATAACCTGATGCCTCCAGCATAGAAACCATTGCGCCTTGTCTCTAGGATTTACAGGCACTGAGTGATGTAGGAGTAGGTTCAAAAGGTTACAGGGGAATTTTCAAAGACACTTGGGTGCCCACCTGCCCTTTATGCCTTTTGAAAACCTTCCCCTCACATGAATATGAACCTTCCTGGACCTCTATTATGTCCATGGCACTGGACTTTATCCTCCTCTTCCTTTCACTGTTATACAACAGAAGTAATTTCACTGAAACCAATCAAGTTTGACTGGCGTACATGAGAAGAATAGGGCCCCACTCTCTCCGTTTGATTTTTATGAGGAATATGATCTGAGCCCCATTGTACCTTTCCTGCATCAAGTTTAAATGAGTCACCGACTGAGGGTCTGATCCAAAGCCCAGTGAACGGGGTTGGGATAAAGCAGAGGTGGGCAAACTGCAGCCCACGGGCCACATCTAGCTCGTGGGACCGTCCTGCCCGGCTCCTGAGCTCCAGGCTGGGGAGACCTTGAACTGACGCTGAGGAAATCTTACCATATGGGCCTGATACCCAGAGACCTGAGCCCCCCACAACGCTGACTGAAGTCAAAGGGCGTGGGGGCAGCTAAGCCATGCTGGAAATGAGGCCCATGTTTATAGCTAGTTCTTTGGCCTTTTTTTCTGGTTTTAGTGGATTTAACTGAAGTCTAAATGAAAATAAAGGCAGGTTTATATCTTTTAACTTTGTATGTTGTTTTAAATAAGATTACTAACGGGTATGCATCAATTAAGAGATTTCCTCTGGGTTCACTTCCTCCTTGAAGGCAGACTTCCCCTGTAAGATGTATTTTTTCAGGTGTGTCAATCTCTTCCTGTCATTCTCATCGGGGGTGCAGCTGGTGCCGCTGTAAATGCTTGCTGGTGATTTTGCAGGTTTAAGAACTTCTAGATCTTCTCTGAAAACCCCCCCTGAAGAAACTGATTCTTGGCTCTTCCATCTCAAATATCAGACTTCCCTTGTTATTGCTCTGTGCTTGTATAATGGTGATTTGAGTGAAGGCACCGAAGGTACATCTGCACAGCAAAGAAAAACTCGGAGCACCGAGTCTCAGAGCCCAGGTCAAGTGGCTCAGGTTGTGGGGCTAAACACAGTGGTGTAGACATTCCCACTCAGGCTGGAGCCCGGGCTCTGAAACCCAGTGACCAGGAAGGGTCTCGGAGCCCAGGCTCCAGCCTGAGTGGGAATGTCTATGCGGCTATTTAGCCCTGTGGCCTGAACCCTGCGTTCGCAAGTCAGTTGTCCTGGGCCCTGAGACTTGGTGCTGCAGGTTTTCCTTCGCATTGTAGACATACTTTCAGGGTCAGAGCCTCAGCTGGTGCATATTGGTTTTGCTTCATTGACTTTAGTGAAACTATGCTGGTTTACACCAGCTGAGGATTTGACTTAAGGCATCTACTTTGCTGCTTGCTTGTTTGCTGCTTGTTACCACATGAAATACATGTGGAGTACCCCAAAAAGTTCAGCAAGCAGGCCTTAGGTAGGGTGGCAGGGCAGTGGTGAGAACCTTGTAACCAGTTTGATTGCATTTATAATGATCTCCTACGTGAAGCGTTTGGAGATCTCCTGATGACAAGTGCTAGGTGGTGGTATTTCTCTTATGTATAGCTCAGGTTTCCCAGCGCAAAGAGGCAGGAAGAAAAGTCCTTCCCTAACTGCAACACTTTCCCTCTCTGTCCCACTTCTGCATCGTCAGTTTCACTGTTTCCCCTGCAGAGTTGGTCAATATCTCTTCTTGTTGGGGTTCACTCTTTTGCATGGCAGCTGCCAGCAAGAGGCAGAAGAAGATAATACTGAGGTGATGCTGCTGGAGGGTGTTTTGACAGGAAAATTTGCTAACCTTTGATTATTCTCCTAAAACGATCCTTCATTTGTAGCCTATCTTGGCCGCTAGTGCAAAAAAGCACCCCCACCCTGGACTGACATACTAGGTGTGTCTCCTTCAGAATAGCATTGGCAGATAGCCTGTGTTCCACTATGGCCCAGGTTCCACCAGGAAATAAACTAGAGATACCAAACCTAAAGACTCTCCTTACACCTGCATATTCTTTGTACTCAAGCCTGGATTGATACGTTACATTCTACATTGATAGAAAGGGGTGTTCGAGATCTATCTATGAATCGGGGCTAAGCAACCGCATTAGAAATGACAATGCATCCATTAAAGTAGGTGGTTAGATTGCCCTCTTCCATGTAGTGGCCGGATACAAGATTGGGCGTTGCCAATTCTTTTTTAGATTTTTCTATCTTACCCCTCAAAAGTGTCTTTTTTGTTCTACGTTTGTACGGCACCGAAGCACCTAGGTTTTACGGCAACACAAATAATAAATGTAGTGAATGCCTGGGATTCTGCGCTCTCCCTTCTCTATCTCCTAGTGGTTCAGAGGCATTTACTTTACTAGAAGAATCAAAAGGAAGCAGCCTCCTCTTGCCAAAGCCTGTGATGTGTTTGTCTTGGGTATCAGTTGCTTTATGCTTATGTTACAGAGCTGCCATGTAACTTCCAGGGCTTTTTGAGGAAAGACTTTCACAACATAACATGGGCAGTTCTAATTGTTACTGGTTAAAAGAGGACCAGTGGAAATGCTAACTCACGGCAGTTTTCTTTCCTATGGCCTCCATCTTTGCAGGGCTCCTTAATATTCCTAATTAGCGGCCTAGTGATCCTGGGATATGCCTCCTCCATCAGCACCCAGTCCACGTACCAGGGCGTAGTCAGAGAAATCTGTGGGTCGGCCATTGGGAAGCTCTGCGAGATCTGCTTCATTTTAAATCTCTTCATGATTTCCGTAGCCTTTCTCAGAGTTGTGGGCGATCAGCTGGAAAAATGTAAGTGTCCCTGCTTAGAGAATGGACCTGGCACAGAGTCCCTTTGTTCTGACCATGACCCTAGCCAGGAGGAGGCAAACTTTTTGGCCCGAGGGCCACATCGGGGTTGCAAAACTATATGGAGGGTCAGGTAGGGAAGGCTGTGCCTCCCCAAACAATCTGGCCCCCATCCGCCCCCACCCCCTGACTGCTCCCCCCAAACCGCCGACCCATCCAACCCCCCCTGCTCCTTGTCTCCTGATCGCCTCCCCCCCAGGACCCCACCCCCTATCCAACTGCCCCTTCTCCCTGTCCCCTGACTGCCCTGACCCCTTTCCACACCCCCACCCCCTGAGGGGACTCCCACACCTATCCAACCGCCCCCCCCTGTTCCCTGACTGCCCCCTGAGACCCTCCACTCCCTGCCCCCTTACCATGCCGGAGACAGCCACGCCACCGTGCTGCCCGGCAGGAGCGGCAGGCCAGAGCGCTGGTGGCATGGTGAGCTGAGGCTGTGGGGATAGGGGGGCAGTTGAGGAGGGGGGACTAGCCTCCCCAGCCAGGAGCTCAGGGGCCAGGCAGGACGGTCCAGCGGGCCGTAGTTTGCCCACCTCTGCCCTAGACCCACCAAAGTAGAAGTGGCCATCCATGTTTGGGCCAATAGCATGAGCTATTGCAGTCTGCATCATTGAGGCTCTCTGCATGTATGTAAACCGCCCCCTAGGCATGCATAAGAGACTCCCAAAACAAATGTGTTGGCCTTGATTTTGGGGCAGGGGTGCCCAACTTGAGATATCATAAAGATGCCCGATTTTTGGAAAGTGCTGAGTGTCTGGCCCCTTTAAGGCGTCTCCAGGAAAGGACCCAACATCACTAGTCACATTTGGAAAATTAGGCCATTAACTTTATCAGCACAGAGACCATTTTGAGGGAGGCAGAGCGTTTTGGCACACCCTGCTGCCTGTGCATTTGGCAAAAGGCGGCCATCCTGTCAATCCTGCAGCGGGCCATTTTCTCCATGGTCAATCCCTCCCAGACTTTTTGTAAACTCCTGTTTCCAGCTGAGGCTAGTCCAGCGTCTGCCGAGCTGTATTACTGATGGGACTGCATGTGTGATCCTTACGGCCCTGGAGCCCTCTGTCTGAAACTTGATCTTAATTCCTGGGTGCTCGTGAGCAGTTCCCGTTTGAGATCTTAAAAGCGATTTATGCTGTTGCTGACCGTATTGCTGCTGACCACTAGGACAACACAAGAGAAGCTGACGCTGATCTCCTACGCCCCCCTGAACCTCCTCTTCCATTTCTCCTCTTCAGTATGTGACTCCCTCTACATGAATGTGACTCTGAGCGGAGAAGGGCCTCCTCCTCCCCAGCACTGGTATACAGATTACCGCTTCACCCTGACTGCCCTGTGTGCCCTGGTCATCTTCCCTCTGTCTGTCCCCAGGGAGATCGGGTTCCAGAAATACACCAGGTATGCTTGGCGCTAACGCCGGAGCTGTGCGGAAGGCTGATAGGCTGAACTGGGACCAAATGCACCCAGCTCTGCAAGCGAGGGGGTGAGAGAAGCATGCTGAGCCGCTGGCAGGGCAGCTGAGCCTCGTGCTCTGTTACCACAATTCACCCAATGTGGGGACTTAAGAGGAGGGACGTGGGAGGTGCAGGCTGGTGTGCACCAAGATCACTGTGCCATAAATACCCAGTGAGGCACTGAGCAGCTGCAGGTAGCCTTCAGATATACTCCCAGGTCAGCGGCAGGCCCTCCTCCCTGCCCTGGTCTCGCTTTCTTCTACGTGCTGTTCTGAAATGCTCTCAAGTCAGCCACTCCCCCTGGCCGGCTCGCAGGAGGAGGAGCTGAAATCGGGCCCATGTACAGCCATCCTCCCGCTGCTCCAGTCCGTGCAGGTAAAGTGCTTGCAAGCTTCTGACCACGCTACAGAAACACCTGTCCACAGGTACTGAATCAGGGCGAGGGCTTTGGCTTTGTGTGCGCCTGCGGGACTGAGCCCCACATGTGTGTTAGCTGAGCTCTCGTTGGGCCTGGGACTTGGCGAATTGGTTTCGCTGCTTAGAAAAGATTAAGAAACTTGCTGGTGAACTTGGTAAATACAACATGGCAAGCGAATCCCTAGTGCCAGAGCAGAGCTGAGAAGACAAGCTGGCTGTCAGCCAATAATATCACTTGTAATTGCTAATAAATAGGGTGTGACCTAAAATAAACACCGTAAGAAGAGACTGGGAACACGTTAACACGGCTTTCTCTGACGTCCCGTCCTTTCAGCACCTCTCACTCAGGCAGAGGTTTCTGAATGACGCTACGGACCCCCTAACAATCTCTCACAGGAATTGGGGTGCTAAATCAGTGTCTTGGCCAAACTGCATCTTGGATAATTTTCTTTCTACCTAAATCCCCCTGCCTGCAGTTTCAGTCCAAGATATTAATCTTTCCCGTTCACTCCCTCACACTCCTGCGTTGTGCTGTTGGTGCAGCGTGTCTCTCGCTCCACCCCAGAGGAGGCTGCATTTCAGTGGCAGGTGAGCTCATTCCTGTCTCTCCAGTCTCTGCAAAGCTAAGAAGTGGTGAGTGTTACAGAAAACACGTACGTGGCATAGGGCGTGACTCTGTGCTCCCGCTTTCCCCTCAGTGAATTGGGAGCAAGTCCAAATGAAGTCATAGCAGTGTAAACCAAGCGAGACAGTATCAGAGGGGTAGCCGTGTTAGTCTGGATCTGTGAAAGCGGCAAAGAGTCCTGTGGCCCCTTATAGACTAACAGACGTAATGGAGCATAAGCGTTCGTGGGAGAATACGATGCATGCATCGGAAGACGTGGGTATTCACCCCCGAACGCTTATGCTCCAATACATCTACAAGGTGCCACGGGACTCTTTGCTGCTTTCAAGTAAGAGGGGAGACTCCGGGCCAGACTCCTGTTAGAGCTAAAATGCTTCTCTCTGTGGACAGGGAGGTGTTTCCCTTTGTGCAGATGCTGGTGCATGTTGGGGGTCTGGCTGCAGTCAGGTGAACTAAAAAGTGCAGTATTTTACCAGTTTCTGTGAGCAGCCAGGTTGCTGCCCTTCTAAATCGCAGTATATTCTGATAGGTTTGTAACGCGCACTCATTGAACATTACAGCCTGCCAACATAGCCTGGCTGAATCTTCATTTGGTACGATAAAAGCTTAACACTTTTCCTCTCCAATCCTTTGTGTTAGTATTTTAGGTACTTTGGCTGCTTGCTACCTGACCCTGGTGATTATAATAAAATACTACCTAAGGACGGAGCATGTTATCCTGTATGAGCACCATTATTCCTCAAGGTAAGTATTGGTGCAACCATTTATCACTGCTTCAAGGGACTCAAGGGGTCCTTGACTTGGCACTAAACCCAGGAGACAAATGTGCTGAGTGGCAATTAGGATGCTAACACAACAAATGTGCTGGAATTTCAGGGCTGTTTTTATGCAGTGCCAGGCTGTTAAAACTGCAGGAAAGTCTGCCTGTGTGTTTTTTTTTTTTTCCTTTGTATTCCTCCTCCTTGGCTTGCCATGCTGTGCTAATGTCCTGGAGGAATCCTGGATCTGCTGACAATAAAGTTAGTGGCCAGGGCAGCTGCAATCATGCCTGGAGGCGCTAACCTGCGTCTCAGGCCCTTGAGGAGTGCTTGGCTCTCCCTGCCCCAATAACTAATCCAACAAAGTGCATGCTGCTCACTTTGAAACAAGGCTAAGCAATCAATGCCATTGTAGAGTGGTTAGAGTAGTAACCCTTTTGTTGCTGCTACGGCTGGGATGTGGACGTCTAAGCAGGGGGTTTCTATGTTTTGGGGCCCACCAGAAAGCTCATATGGGCAACAGAGGGGTGGCTAAAAAATTGGTTGTACATGGATTTAGGTTGCATAAAATAGCAACTTCAGAGTCAGATCCTCAGCTGGCATAAATCAATGCCACGTGCATGACTTCAGCGGAGCGATGCAGATGATCTGGCCCTCTATTTTGAAGGCCAGAGGATACGTTATGACAAAGGGTCTGTGAGCCATCTGGGTATTTGAGGCATGCAGGCATCCTTGGAAGATGATGAATTCTTGGGGTTGGGAGAAGTGTGTGTTTCAGGGTCTGTCATGGCTGTGTGGCTCTTCAAAGGTGACTGTGCCTGGAGGGTGTGAGGGAGAACTGGGCATCTGTCCTTTTTCCTTATTTATTTCGCTTCAGTCTGATAAATCAAGAAGGCCTGAAAACCCTCCCCCTCCCCACACACAAAATTTCCCAGTGGGAGGCTTTTTCTGCTTTCTTACATTAGAAATTCCAGTCTTGTCAACCCTGAAAGACTCCAGGGCCTTGTCTACATTAGGCAATTGTGCAATAAATTCATTTGGTGCCAACACCAGTTCAGTGGAACTAGCATGAGTGAGAGCCCTGGCCTCGGCAGGGGGCTGGTGGCTTTGGGCCTCTTCACCGCTGTTAAACCTGCTGAGGAGCTGGTTCGCGGCAGGTTATAAAATGGGTGTGACTGTGGGAGCGCTGTCTGTGCTAGGGGTTCTTTGGCAAACGTGTGGGGCTGCCAGTGGGGAATTATTCCCTCAGGTAGACCAGGGTTTAGGGTGTCCGTGTGCAGTGAAGGCTCCACTCCTGCAACTGACTCCACATGGGCTGACCCTCCTGGAAGCCAGCGGGGCTCCAGGCACGCAGAGTCTGTTGCAAGAATGGAAGCTGAATTTCCTGTTGTGTAAGTGGGTGCAAACTTGCCTCCTTTTGGAATAGCCAGTAGATACTGCTGGGTTACTTTTCCTGGGGGGCAGCTTTTCGCTGTGGTGCCAGGCAAGGCTGTGAATGTATTTCTCTTCTTGCCCCATTGAGTTACTTTTTCTTCAACTGATCACCTGTGCTCCCCTTCCTCTCCCCATCTGCAGGGTCTCTTCCTTGGCTTCCATGTTCAGTGTCATCCCAACCATCTGTTTTGGATTTCAGGTAACAGCACTGTGTGGATTTCAATTGTCCTTTTCTGTGGGCCAGTCCAGTGGGTTGCTACTACGGCTGCCTTTGCAGAAGCTCTCACTTAACACGATGCCCCAGGCTAGGGAAGGTCTCTTTCCCCGCTGCCCCGTCCCGGGATTCCTGACCAGGACAAGGAACAAGCAAAGAGGACTCCCCTCCCACCTTCGCAAGACCATGCATCCCAGAATCTATGGAGGCCTCTGCCTGCTAGGGTGGGACACTGGGGTGAAATCCTGGCCCCAGGGAAGTCAAAGGCAAAACTCCCCTTGACTTCCATGGGGCTAGGATTTCACCCTGGGAGTTTAGGGAGTGCAGCGTACATACCTGTCCAGTGCAGATGTAATCCCAACGTTGAGTTGTGTCCTTCATTAGTGAGTCTGAGAGAACGGGGGAAGGGGCTTGATTTAAGGAGCTTCCAGTAATGGGCATCTTTCTATAAGCAGTAGTGTTAATGAGGCTACCTCATGCAGGAAGCCTGATACAGTAAGAGCCCTGCATGAGCCAGATGGTCAAGGCAGAATGAGGATTTGGATCTGTGTTCTGGTCCGGTCTCGGAGCAGGCAGAACCAGCGGAACCCAGATCAGAGCTCCCCTGTACTCGGGTCCATAGCAGTGAGGCTGCTTGGCTCAGATCCTGCCCCACAGAAGGGGTGGGGACAACAAGAACCAGGGCGTTTGTCACTTCCCTTCCCCTGCTGTCTGAGGTGGGGAGAAAGGAACAGCTCTGTTTCCGGCCCCTTGTGTCGGGGTGGCAGTGACCCCTTCCAGAGGCAGAGAACGTCCCCTTGTGTCCTCCTGGGAGGAGGAAGGACTGGCCCTTTGTTTTGGTGACCAGGGAGAATCACTCTGTCTCTGGAGGGGACTCAGGAGGTACCCTCGCAGTCTGCCTCCGGCTGAAGCAGGGGCCTGGGGGAAGGGCGGAGTGGCTGCGTATGGGAGTGGGAAGGTTTGGGGACAGGGTGGTGGCGGGACTGAGGCACAGAGGGAACATGATAAGTGAGAGGGATCCGAGGCCTTTCATCCTCCCTTCACCTGCTCATAAGCATGCAGTGTTCTCTCGTGTTTCAGTGTCATGAAGCCTGCATTGCCATCTACAGCAGCATGCACAACAAGAAACTCTCCCTTTGGATCGTGGTGTCTGTGCTCTCCATGCTCTTCTGCCTGTTAATTTATTCTCTTACAGGTAACCCCTCCCTCTCGCCTTATCCTAACCTGCTGAAACTTCTACCCCCTCCCCTCTGACCCAGAAACCACACTGCATGCCTAGGTCTTGTTGGCAATGGCTTCATGTTAGACCACATGTTCGTATACAATGTGAAACATGCCATAGCACTCGGTGTGGACAAGGGCTTTCCTGATCAGCATCACCTCAGCTAATTGTGCTCAGGATGCCTTTAAATTGTTTGACTAAAGATTGCTTCAACTCTTTGTAGCTCAGCTGCCCTAGAAGGGAGTCCTTTGGCAAGGAAGTTTTATAAATTTGTCTTCCTCCCACATAAGTGATAAATACACACACAACCTATGTTAAAATAACTTTATTACCATTGCAAAGTCAAGCGTTCAGAAGCTATGAAATGCCAGAATTAAGTTTGCCTGCACAATCATGATGCGGCCCTCTGTTGCGTCCGCATTATAATACAGTCCCCAGTGACATAATCCCCAACTATATTTCCCACAGGACCCCAGCCTCAGTCAGGGCACTGAATGGATGGTGCTCACTTAACAGAATAGCTCCTCATTAAGTGACCACCATCCAGTCTTTCAAATCTTTTACACTCCTGCTCCCCGCCCCCCAAATCAGCCTGAGGCAGACACCCAGCATGCAACATTTGAGCCCAAATGGCTAAAGTTTTGCCAAGTTATAAACAGATTTTTATATGGGACACGTTGGGCAACCTTAATCCTATTGGGATCCAGGAAGTGGGTGGGCGGAGCCCGCCCCCTGCTAAAGGACCCCCTCTCAGCCTAAGGGGGGGATCCACGGGACCTGGAAATAGGCACTGCTACCAGCCCCGGCTATAATGAGCAATACGCATTCATTTTAATAACTTTCCTCGTAGTTGGTTCCTACTCCAAACTCCTCCCCATATGGTATCACGACTGTAGCTCAATATCACATTTAATGCCTATGATCTTTGCTGCTTCTCTTGTTTCTAGGGCTTTATGGCTATTTAACCTTTGGTGCTGATGTGGCTGCTGATATTCTGATGTCATACCCAGGAAATGACGTGGTCATCATCATAGCCCGGCTACTCTTTGGCATCTCCATCATTACCATCTACCCAATCGTTCTCCTGCTGGGCAGGTGAGACAGAGGGAGACTGCAGATGTGCACGGCTGTGGAGGGGCAGTGCTTAGGAATGGGCTTATGCCCACGCTGACATGGTGGTAGGTGTCAGTAATGTAGATTTCATCAAGAGAAGATTTGGAAAGGGATATTACTAAGGGCAAAACGCATCCCACCTCCAAAACACTGAATTGGTTTCAAAGTTAACGCCTTAGGCGGAGACCCAAATGTGGGTGGCTGAAAATCTTCCACCGACTGGGTATCCCTTCACAATGGTGAAGGAAGAAAGCCAGGAAAGGGCTAGTTCTGAAAGGACAATAGGCATTAATAAGTGCGAAGAAGGTTCATAAAGACAGTGGCCACCGTACGGAAGGCAGTGACAACCTCCCCACAAGGGATCGATGGGCAGGGGCTGTCTGAGATTATAAAACCAGACACCCGGGCAAGCAGCCTTGGGGAAGGGTGTGCAGGTGGAAGAGCTGGCATATCAAAAGACACAAGTTGGCGGGGGGGTCTTGTGGAAGGGAAAAGGAAGAGTGTGTCTTGAGGAGCCAGACCGAGGGGAAAGTGAGATTTTTAGCAGGGAGGTATCTTCCCCTCACTGTAACAAAGCTGAGGTGAGTGTAACTCGCTGAGCCCTGTCTTGGCTCGAGCCTCTAGGTGCGTCTGTCATACGAATAGTAAGTTGTCCCAGGCCTTTGTTCAGGGGCAGGAACTTCTGGGCACATGTTGTCCCCAAAGGGACGGGGAGATGGTGAAGCCATGGCCTCTCCCCTTGCGGAGTGTGCTGGGGAAAACAGCCTGTCCCAACCCAAAAGGTGGTGCTTTCCGTCTGCGCACAGAGACGCTTGGGAAAGGGCAGCGAGTGTGCGGGAGGTATGAGTCTGTCTACGCAGACCGCGTGGTCTGCGAGCAACTCCCTGCTGTGGTGGAGCTGAGCTGAGTGCATTGCTCCAACACAATCCAGTGCAAGGAGTTCTGAGCCCAGCACAGCGCTGTATGTAACCTGGCGGTGTCTGTCTGATAGGTCTGTCCTACAGGATGTCTGCCTGAATGACAAGTGCAGGTCTCTCGTGCTCATGGAGCCTTATGAACGGTGTACAAGGATTGTGCTGACGATGACGTGGATCATCGTGACGCTCGTCATTGCTCTGTTTGTCCCTGACATCAGCGAGGTGATCAGTATTATTGGTGGCATCAGCGCCGCCTTCATCTTTATCTTTCCAGGCACGTACTTGTTAACAGATGTGTGCGTATTTTAATTCAGGAGCTGAGCCTGGGAAGGGTTTGCTGCATTAGTTACTATTGAGCAGTGAGGCTGCCAAACTTCCTTCCCATGCTCTGAGCCTCTGGGGTGAAAACGCTTTTTGTGAATTAATTTCCTCTGAAAACTGGGGTGACAGAAGGGAATTGACACGGAGGCAGGGCTCCTGCTCAGATTTTTCTCTGATCAGGTGCACTGGGAGCTATGTGCGAGTTTAAAAAAGTTCTCATTGACCACTGCTCCATTTGCCCCTTTAAACAAAAAAAACCAAACCAACCCAACATCATCTCTCCCCAAGATTTCATCTGGGGGCTCTGAGCTGGAGGGGGAAAGAGGATGGCTTTTTTAAGTTTGCCTTTCTGCGTGGGCCTATTCCTAGAGCAAAGAGCCTGATTGAAAGGCTCCAGAATCCACAGACTCTTTAAAGTAGCCTTCAGATAAGAATCTCCTGCTGTGGCTGCAATCTGGCAGTTTTGGATACAAATAAATGTTCATGAATTTTGTTTGGTAACTTATCAGTGTGTCCATGAATCACAAGTTCTGATTCTCTGCAGCCTTGCATCTTTGTGTAATCCCTTAACCTACACAGAGTAGGTGTAAAATGCAATGAAACAGGTTAAAAATGCTAGGTTTGAATATTTTTTGGGTGGGGGATTGTTCATTCTTCAGCAAAAGGGAGACTCTTCTGTTTAAAGGAATGTGTCTAGAGCTGCTTTTGCAAGGCACTCAGTAGCGTGGTGTTTCTCTGTTCATTGCTGTTTTCAGCCACCACCCTCTTGAGCAAATGTTTTGTAGGTTCCTTCACTGAAGGTGTGAGAGGTAATTTATAGCTGGAAGCGCCACTTACTTACTTTTATTTCAAACTTTGTCTCAGGACTGTAAATTCCCTGGTTGAAATTTTTTTTTTTTTTTTTTTTTTTTTTTTACAGAATCCCTTCCTCTTTGAGCCTCTGGGCTAAAAACTCTTCACATAAAATTGTAGGTGCCAGTTATAATGCTAACTCTGGCCCGGCGTTATCAACATGGCAATTAAGATTTCAAGTGTTCCAAAATGGTGGTCGTGAACTTTCTTGCAGTAATTCCAATAGAAAGTAAAATTGAAAATTTACCGGTATGGGGGTGGGGCCTCGGGCAGAAGGGGTGGGGCTGGGGGGGTCAGCCTCCCCCAGCCAGCTCTTCCACATGCCCTGGGCTCCAGTGGAGATTTAAAGGGCCTGGGGCTCTGGCCGCTGCTGCCACAGCAGCGACTGGAGCCCTGGGCCCTTTTAAATCGTCAGCCCCGGGGTAGCTGCTCCTTTTGCTCCACCCCCACCCCCACCCCCAACCTGTTGGCAGCCTTGTGGGTTGGGAGGGCAAAAGGGGCAGTGAGGGTAAAGTGCCGGGGCAGCGCTTTAAAGTAAGGCTGCAGGGGCCTGGTCCCGACGGCCACGTTTTACCGGTACGCCGTGCTGGCCCGCACCACCTTACTTTCACCCCTGCCAATAGTCATCGGAGGGGTACAAGCTTAGTGGAAAATGGAGTCACTGGAGAAATCTTCCTCTCCGTGTATGTAGGGGAAGGGGGAGATCAGGAGGAAGACCTGATCAGGTTGCCCACGTATTGAGAACATTTCAAAAACAAATGTAATTCCAGAGCAATGTGTGTGGCTGCAGAACAACGGCCTGTGTGAACTTCCAAAGATGGTCTGATCTTGTAATCTACACACTTTCTTTTTGGTGGGATGCCATGTAGGTGGAGGTAGATGTGAAATATAATAGAGGCTCCTTTCTGTGGGCAAAGAAAAACAAAAAAGACCGTTCCTTCCTTACCCTTCTCCATTTACATTACTTCAATGCTCCGTCACATTTCCATACCACTCGTAGCTGTCACAGGTTATAGAAGTGACAAAGGCCCGGATGTTTAGGCGTTGCAATGCTGAGCAAAGCAATGCCTACATACCTCTCAAAATCTGAGCCATCGTCATTTTTTTCCTAAGTAAAATGAATCCACGTGAATGATTTTATGTAACAACCCTCTAAAAGTAGCTGGGTGTCATACAAAAGTAACCACTAGAAGTCAGTTCACGTGCCGGCAGAGCAGAAGCCACAACAGAAAATGATGGAAATCCCACTAAACTTCTGAAAATGGGGGGGGAAAGTCTTAAGTTCAGGCATCCAAAGGATATAGCTGACTTTATCCATACGTGTTCCAATAGAGCTGTAGTGGTGATCGGCAATGCACAACCGAACTAATGCAAGATCTTGGCAATTAAACACATGAATGTGCGGTTCTGTCTAAAATTGCCACTGCCTTCTTATGGTTACTGGGAGGAATATTTGGGAACGTGTTTAAATGACATATCATGTATGGTTTGATTTGCAGGGCTATGTCTAATATGTGCAATGGAAATGGAACCCATCGAACCAAGAAAAAAGTAAGCTTCCATATACCATGTTGGGCTGGATATATGCATATAAATATTATGAGACGTTCCTCGTGCACTACATGTATAAGCCTGTGTAAGTGGAGCTGTCCCTAATGATCAGTTCAAAAACGTGGCAGGGTCCCTCCATTTCTGTCTTCATCTCCCACACATCAGAAGTGCCCATGAAAACTTAACATAGAATGATTGTGTCGGTTTTCCTTTCTAAACTCCACTGCAAGGCTCTTGCAGTCTCAAAATGTGACATTAAATAACAGATTTAGAGGGACATAATCATAGCAGTTAAAGCCAAAAGGATGAGTGTGTATAAATCTGTTAGTCTTTGAGGTGCCACCGGACTCCTTGTTGTTTTTATAAATATACAGTAATTCTCCCTTCCTGTTGAGAACCCAAACAGCATTATGTCGAGAGAGAGGGGACAGACAGTCTACTTTCACTGCCTAAGCTGTGTAAAGTGCAAAAAGAGTTTTGAAACCATTTGAATGGTAAAAAATTCGATCTTAAATGTTTCAGTTTGAATGTAGAGCTCGATGAGCTATTAGTGAATAATTTGACAAATTAGGCAAATGTAGTTGGTTTTCCTTTTTAAATTCTGCACTCACGGGTTTTGGTTTCTTTTTAACCAGACTCTTCACTATGTGGTGTGCAACTGATCACCTAAGCCACATGGTGGTGGTGGTTCTGCTCCGTGAGCAATGGAAGAGCTGTCCACATGGCCATAGGGACATATTTGTTTGCTCATGAGACCCTTTTCTGCAATCTTATTTTTAAAAAAATCCCTGTGTAAACATGACAAATAAGGGTCACGAATACAGTCAAAATGGACATGTGGTTTGTATTGGAATGAATACTGCTCACATGTTCACCCGGCTCTAGCTGTCAGTAAGGAATTTTAATGTATTTTTTTCTCTGAATTGTGCACTAAATGCCTTAGTTTATCAGGCCCAGAGGGCTGGAAAACAGGCAGATTAATTTCCAATTCATGAGCAAGCAGGTAGGTTTTCTGTTGTTTGGATTTGATCAATGCTTATTCTACAGTGCTGACAGCCTAAGCTTCTACCATGCATCTTTCAGTCAGCCCACCACCTAAATGCAGATCAAGTCACTTAAAATAGTAAGGGCCCGATTCTGTCACCTTCACCCTTGTAAGTACTTTTAAAATTTCAGTGGGTTTATTTCTCCTATTCTTACACGTGAGACGGAGGCACGTTAACTGACAGTCGTGGAGCTACTTGCATGGTATGGTCTTAGTCAACGCAAGCAAGGGTGACAGAACTGAGCCCTTCAGCCCAGATCCTCCAAGACCTTTAACTCCCATTGAAATCAACAGGAGTTAGGTGCCTAAACACCTTTGAGACTCCGTGACTGAATCTGGCAACAGCAGCCCCCTTGCGTGGCAGCCTGCACAGCCTTTGCTTTGAGCTTTGGCACTTGGCCTGCAGTCATCTGTTACCTGGCGACGCAACCAGAAGCAGTAACTGCTGTTGCTTGATTATAACTTGCCCTTTTCACTGTGCTGGAGTCTGCTTTCTCCGCTTCCCTACAAGTCCTCTTGGTTCTTCCCAGGATTCTTTGCCTGAAATAATGCTGCCCCACGAGCTGGTTTCCATGTTGTAACCGTTTGTGCTTCTGGCCAAAGAGGGCTGGATGCAATTCCCTCCTGAGCTCATTTCAGGAATGTCCAAAGCCCAGCGGTAATTATGAACTACCCCATACTGGCCTGTCATTTTTTAATGGGCTTTGGCAGGGTGGTATGGAGGGTTTGTGAGACAGGAGTTGGCTTTAAGAAGAGGCTGGAGAGGAATCAGTTTGTTTACCCCAGTGCAGCTGCCTGGTGGGTTTAGACCTTAAGACTCCCACTTCTGATGCTGGAGGTCATGGGTTCAGGTCTCTCAGCTATGATGGGGGAAGTGAATGGGCCTCTAGACAGAGCCAGCACAAGTCACATTTAAGCCCTACGCAAATTAAATGGTGAATAAGCAGAGCCTTGGGTCTCTTGTGAATTTCATCCTTAAAGACTGGTTACGTAAGTCAAGACACAACCAAATTCACAAGTATCTTTTAATGTAAGTTTCTTAAACTGAATTTTGCATTTCACTATAGCTCAGATGGACAGGGACAGTCCTGCTCACCTGAAGAGAGTTGTCAGATTATTGTTTCTCCTGCCTTGCAATGAACAAACCACTCACTCAACTGACCGGTTCTGTGGGCATATTTTCAGACAGTATCTTGGAGTCTCGTAGCTTTACCCAAACATCCTTCTCTTCCAAAGAAATATTCATAACTACCCTGGAAGCAAACTAGGATGTTTTTAAAGCCTCTACAAGTGAGGGTCTTTCAGTGTCCAACTCCTCTTTATTACTCATGTAGTGTTGTGATGGAATTTATTTGGCTAAAGTCTGGAAGGTTTTTACTTTGGTCAGGAAGATGGACCCTTGGGCTAAGAAAAAATAGCAAAGCAAGTTGAATGCAATGGTGTAGCCATACTGACAAGTGAGGAAACGGGAGCAAAAGGAAAGTTTCTTTATTCTTGAGCGGGGCCCACGTTTCTGTGTAGTAGAGGCTGCATTGACAATTTCTCGTAAGTGAGAGCCCTGCAACTAAGAGAAAAGCATCCCATTTGGTACAAAAGAGAAGTATGGTTTGACTCTGCATAAATGAGGTAAGGAGTCCATGTTCTTTTGTCTCTCCTTGGCAACTAGCGCTCGTTTCCCTGGCAGAAGTTCTAGCTCAGACCTGAAAGTCAAGCTGGGTTCTTTCTGACGTGTGCATCAGCACTGACATTTTGACTACAGCCACTCAACAGTCTCTCATTACACAGGAAGAAACTGAACCCAGCTCGTCCCCTGAAAGGGTGTGGGCTCTAGAAGGAAAAGAGTGATTGTTTGTTTGAGCTGCTGTCTCTGCGTTCCCCCAACAAGGGTTGTCTTTTCTGATAACCGCTGTTTAGTAGAGAGGGGCAGAAATTACAGGGCCCAGCACCTTGCTGCTCCAGGAGAACCTTACACTGGGGCTGGAAGGACAGAGAAATGGGGGTCAGGCTTAAGAAACTTGTAGTAGGCACCCATACACTTCTCCCCCCCCTTCCAACCAGCTGACAAGGTGTCATGGGGCAACATTCCCCCCTCAGTAAAATACGGAGTGAAGGCTGCACCATGAGCTAGCTCAGTATGAAGAACAGTACAGTTAGGTTTAAAAAACACAAACTACCACTGGTCCCCTAAGCTCTCAATGAACAAAAGTTGATTTCTCATTTTGGCAATGTCCAGGGGAAGAGTTGTATTCATGGTAACATTTCTCTTTAAATCAGCCTTCCCCTGGGAGACTAAATCATTGCCTACAGTTCCATTGTGCTGTTCTTCTATTTTCTAGGTCCTGTTTGATTGCTTGGGGTGTCATCTCCATCCTCTGTGGAGCTTTTGTCTTTGGTCAGAGCACAACCACTGCTGTCATGGAGCTGGTCTACAAATTCTAGCTGCTTACAGGTACCCAGCAGCCTTCAGCAAGTTGCACGTAATTTGGTGCAACCTACAGGCAGCCGTGCTTGCAAAGAACAATGCATCTTATTGGAGCATGGTTTCCAAATGACTGATGGGTGTTTCTCAGCCTTTCCCTGTTTACATTCACTTTAAAAGAGATCTATTTACACAGTCTCTCCTGTTTGCTAAATGACGAGCATTACCATGCAGCAGGGTGCCTGTCAAACATCACAGTGATGCTCTAAGATCATTGTACCTCCTCACACCTTTATCTATTCTTCCCTTCTGATGGTACATGGTTTCCTTTCATCAGAGCAACCCCCAAGTATCAGCCACTGGAGGAGAAAGGTCAATCCAAGGTGTCCCTGATACTCCCTTCTTCAAACTATGGTCTGTTATTGTCATCTCAAATGCCAGCTTTCCCCATGGGTTAATCCATTCCCCTTGTGTTGCCTTTATTACACACCCTGTTCAAGACAATAACTAGACACCCCTTCACATCAGAATGGATGAGTGTGTGCATTCTGGAAAAAGGGCAAATCTTTGAAATATCATGTTTTGTATTTTACAGATCATATCAGTATTGCTAGAATAGAGACAGAAGGTCCATTACCAGAGTTAGACTTGTACAAGTATTAGAACTTGCAAGTTCAACACCTAGATCCTTTATGCACATGTCTACACAGCAGCTCGAGAGGCGAGGGTAGCACCAAGGCTCCTGGGCCTTCACTGCTATTATTACTTGAGCGAGCTTGGACCTATCTGTGCAGCTGCAGTTACCTCCCTGATGGCAGCGTAGACCTTCCCTCAGTGTGGCATCTCATCTTCAATACAAGGAGACTGGAGTTCCCACTACGGAGAACAGTGATGTTGTGCATAACTGCCCTTTATTTTCCACCTACCCTTGAATTATTTTGATGTGTTTTTCATTACAAGTTCACAAAACTACTTCCATTCTGTTTCCCTGTTGAAGAGCAAGGAGCGATTTAGAATAAAACCACCACCATTTCCCACTTACATTTTATTTGGTCTCTGTATTATCTAACTGTACATATCCTAATATTAAATTTCCTACAGTGTACGATGGGTTTAGAGCCCGATGATATCAAACATACAGCTAGAATAATATCAAATGTTACAGTCAAAGTGAAGAAATAAGCAAGCCTGCATCCCAAAAACTAGTCTCCCCTGCTTCTGTCCCTATTAGAAACAAATACAAAATGCACCAAACTTAGTAAAGGAACAGATTGCTACTTTCTACAGCCAGAAGGCATCTCTAGTACATCAAGGCTTATTTAGCATGCATTGGTGTTAATGTGAAGGAAACTAATTATGGAATCAAGAGGTAGGACTGGGGAGGGAAGGAGAAAGGCAAGTGGTTCTTTTCAGCAGCCTATAAAGGAGAAACCTGATGAACAAATTAAAAAGGTGACCCCTTTGTATCTAGTTCTAAGGCAGTGGCAGAATGTCTCCTTCTCTCTAAGAGTAAGGCCTGTTATGCTATGCAGCGGTGAACCAGTGAAACCTCAGGGAGAACTCTTACAGCGTAGTCCTGCCCCTGCTATAAATTATTTTCTTTCAAAACTACTGGACAAAGAAACTAACACCAGCGCTGATATTTAGACTCCTTAAGGGAGGTGACCTGCTGCTGGCCCCTCTCAGACAGCATCCGACATGAGATGGGGCTCGAGTATGAGCCTGTCACTATCAGGCCCTACGTGCTGGCAGGCAGGATTTGACCATTCTGGCCAAACTGTTCTATCAGCCTCACTTTACTGAGGCACAGGAAGGATAAGCAACTTGCCCACTGTCACAGAGCAAGTCTGGGACAGAGCCAAGACTAAACCCATGAATCCCTGCAATGGGGCTGTTGGGGGCAGGAGACTGGCAGACTCTGCTCCATCCCAAGCTTTAAGGGGAGCGTTTAGGAGCTATGACAGTGGGTGGGGTGGTTATGTTTTTTCCTTCACTTCAAACACCTAGCAAATACATTGCTGACATTCTTGGTTAGTAGTGAACTCAAAAGACATCACCTGTACCAAAGGCATTAGAAAAGACAGGAGTTTAGTCCTCTGCAAAGGGGGAGAGAATTCACTGGACAGAAAAGGCAAGAGAGCCTGGAAGTGCAACGGATCACCTTGCTGCTTGACTCCGTGCCGGCCGAGGACTCAATCTCTGTTCAGAGTGCACCAGGCAGCTGCAAGAGAACAACCAGTCAAGGCAGGAGCTCAGTCTCCACCCCCCCGCAGCTTTGTGCGGGCAATGGCTAACCCTCCCTGGGGTGGTGCGGTGGGAGGAGGCTGTGTCAGAGCTGGACTGCTCATTGCAGCACAAATGGGAAGAACTTGCTCTCTGCCTGCAAAACAAATCACTCAAGGGCAGGTATCTTGTCACACGCTAAAACGTTGAAGGATAGGCACAGTGGGTCAAATCCCGTACTGGTAACACTGATGTAAAGCGGGAGCCCCCTCACTCAGATCGATCTGACTGTGAGACTGAGAACAGAATTCGGCTGTTTACAGGTGTACTGAAAAATTAATTGTTTAAGTAATTAAATGCTGCATGTTGCTAGCACCATCCATTAGACACCTCAGTACTTTGCAAGCTAATTAAACGTCACAGCCCCTGTGGGAGGTAAGCAGTTATTAGCTGCAGGGGCAAACTGAGGCACACAATGGATAAGGCCTTGTCTTCATTCACAAGTTGTGTTGCTTTAACTATAGTGGTTAAAGTGGTACAACCCTTTTTGTGTGGATGTGTGTTATACTGGTACAGCTTATTCCCATAGGGGACTAAGGACCTTCATACGGCACAGCTGCATCCATGGTAGGCGGTGTTGCTCTATTGGGTTTTTTTAAAAATCACATTCTTAACCAACCAAGTTACACCAGCAAAAAAATTGTGTGTGTGGACTAGACTTCCAGTCCTGGGGCTTTTATAAATCAGCTGCTGAGCCTCTTTGCTCAGCAGTAAGAAATGTGGACTCCTTTTGTCTTGCCGTGAGTTGCTTACAAATAGTTACCCTGGAAAGTGAAAAACTCCTGCCATATACAAGCAAAAAATCCACAATGACTGAGCAGTCCCACTTTAAACACACAATGTTTTATGCTGCTCTCATGGAGGAGTAACCTGTGTGCGAAGAACACAATGGGCCTGATTCTCCAGTGTGTTATACTTGGTGCAGTCATTTACACTGAGGGTGGGGGGCAAGTGCTACCATCATTTGGGCTGGGTAGCATTTTATACCCAGTGTAGGCTTAAATGACTCCAGAGGGTATCCGGTCATGAGGAATCAGGCCCTCAGGGTGTGTGAGTTGTGGCACTGCACGCTGTTTCAATGCCTGCAGCTTAATGTATTTAAAAATATAACCCCTGGAATCTTAACAGTCTTGTCCTGCAGGACAAAGTACCGCTCAATGGCATGTATTGGGCAGGGCACGTGCAGACTGGTTCGCTTTAAGGCTCCAGGACAGCTTTTTAGCTCAGGCACAGAGCTCACCAGTAATTCAACTGAGAGCCTGCTGCTTAGTCCCTTGAGGCCTTTCAGCCTTCTGCCTGAAATGGCTGAAGCAGGAGCGTTTGTGTCCAAGTCCCTTCAGGGCTTAAGATCCTTTGACTGCCGTTGCCCTTACCTGGCACAGACACACTGGAAACTGCTTCAGGCTGAGTCAGTGTGTCCACTTTAACATGCTGGAACCCTTTACAGGGAGCACTCTGCAGGTGTCTGCAACAAAGTTTGAGAAATTGTTAATCGTGGCCTATAAACTCTCATGTGTCAGACTGCTGTATTGGGGTTGCCCATTGCTACTGGGAATTGCAATCAGGAATGACTCATGGGGAGCAAGAACGACTTGGATGTTTGCAGGGAGATACGCAGTTGCAGTTTGTTTGCCTGCTTGCTATATCAGGGTCCCACCATATGCAGAATTGTAGGGATTTTCATGTCCATTTCCAGTAATGCCTAGTGTTTGCTCCTTCTTTACCTATCAGACTCACGTTTAATCATTCTGTATATCAACAGAATTGGTCTTGTGGTATGCAGATGTGTTCATACACAATGCACAGCACAGAATAGGTTTGTAGCTCTTTCACCCAGATCTCCAGGAAGGAAGGAAGAAATGAAGAAGTAGAGAGGAGAGCACATGTCTGGAAAATTGCAGGGGCTGATCATGGATGATCTGTGAGGCTGAAAGGGCTGGGATCTTAACAGGGCATTAGATCCTGGAAAACATGCTACAGTCTGAGTGGGGAGAGACACTGGGCTAATTAATATGATTTAGAAGATACATTCATTTCATGTGGGTGTTGATTAATTAGAGCCCATTAACAATAAATAGGAAGCTAAATCCATGCCAAAATATTCACACGGGTGTTTAAAATTAGACCCTTACATGCCATATTTAGGCACCTCAATAAAAGCAGCAGCTTTGCAGAGATGTGGAGCACCTGCAGCTCCGTTTGGAGCCTGGTCTCTCATTTCGGCTAGTTGATCATTGGTTTTGCCTCTGTAGTAGAGCTAGCCCAGGCCCTCCAAATTTGGACCCCAGGGTGTGTGGCGGGTGGGCTTCTGCTCGGGTTACTAGCATCTGCTGCAGCATCCAAACTCCAGTCTGGAGCACACTAGGTCAAGCAGAGTATCTGTCTCCCAGGGCTGGCGCACACCCTCCCTGCTGCACTGCAGACACAGCCCACCTCTGTACTCAGACTGGCTCTTCCCCAACCTCCCAGCTGCCGGCATGGCCAGACTTTAAAACATTTCTCTCTCTTTTCCAGGCACTCATTTAATTCTGTGCTTATTGTGTTGTTTCTCACTTTTTGTAGCCCCCAACCTGCTGTCACCTTTGTTTCCCTCCCTGCCACTTCCCCTGCTCCTCCCCTCACTTTCCCTGCCCCTCCCCATTGGTCTCCCTGTGTCCCCACCTTCCCCCCATCCCTGGTTTTGCTTCAGCGCTTGCTGTTCAAATTGCCCCCCCCAGGCAGCAAAGGACTTTTGGCCACTCTCACGCTGGCTCACACTAAGTACTGGGGCAGGGCCTGCCTCTGCTGAAAGCCCGTGTCACCAAAGCCAGCTCCATGGGGCCATACCAGTTCCACAGGAGCTGGGGCAGATTAACGCTCAGAGTGGTTCCACTCCCGTTAGCATGGAAAACAGGACTGAGGCAGTGCTTGCCCGGGGGCTGAACCTGGCCTCCCTTTACACTGCACAGCAACTCTTGTGAGGCTCTGGCTAACGTTGCCCTCTACTGCACAAACTCTTTCATTCAAAAGCTCTAATTGCAATGGCTGAGTCAAACGGTCCTTTAAGTTCAGCAGTGCCTTAGGCACTGGAAAAAGCCAATGCAGCCTTAATGTTTCCCCCACCTCCCCCTACCTGACACATGCTTGAAGGATGTGTGTGTGTGTGTACATGGGGGAGGGGGCCTCAGAGTCCTGTCAAGCACCCTGAGAATCCACCATTGCCTACAATTCCGCTCATTGACCTTCCTTCCAGCCTAGTGTGCCTCCGTCCACAGCTATTACTCTAGATCCAGCATCAGCGGGAGGGCTTACAGGAAAGTGCTAGTATATCAGCCAGAATTAACTTGGGGTATTATATTAATGAGTTATAGACTCATAGAAGATTAGGGTTGGAAGAGACCTCAGGAGGGGTCTAGTCCAACCCCCTGCTCAAAGCAGGACCAACCCCAACTAAATCATCCCAGCCAGGGCTTTGTCACGCCGGGCCTTAAAAACCAAACCTCTAAGGATGGAGATTCCACCACCTCCTGAGGTAACCCATTCCAGGGCTTCACCACCCTCCTAGTAAAATAGTGTTTCCTAATATCCAGCCTAGACCTCCCCCATTGCAACTTGAGCCCATCACTCCTTGTTCTGTCATCTGCCACCACACTGAGAACAGCTGAGCTCCATCCTCTTTGGAACCCCCCTTCAGGTAGTTGAAGGCTGCTATTAAATCCCCTCACTCTTCTCTTCTGCAGACTATATAAGCCCAGTTCCCTCAGTCGCTCCTCGTAAGTCATGTGCCCCAGCCCCCCTAATCATTTTTGTTGCCCTCCGCTGGACTCGCTCCAATTTGTCCACATCCTTTCTGTAGTGGGGGGCCCCCAAACTGGATGCAACACTCCAAATGTGGCCTCACCAGTGCCGAGTAGAGGGGAATAATCACCTCCCTCGATCTGCTGGCAATGCCCCTACTTATACAGCCCAAAATGCCATTAGCCTTCTTGGCAACAAGGGCACACTGCTTACTCATATCCAGCTTCTCATCCACTGTAATCCCCAGGTCCTTTTCTGCAGAACTGCCGCTTAGCCAGTCGGTCCCCAGCCTGTAGCGGTGCATGGGATTCTTCCTTCCTAAGTGCAGGACTCTGCACTTGTCCTTGTTGAACCTCATCAGATTTCTTTTGGCCCAATACTCCATGTTGTCTATGTCACTCTGGAACCTATCCCTACCCTCCAGTGTATCTACCTCTCCACCCAGCTTAGTGTCATCCACAAAATTGCTGAGGGTGCAATTAATCCCATCATCCAGATCATTAATGAAGATGTTGAACAAAACTGGCCCCGGGACCGACTCTGGGGCACTCCACTTGATATCGCCTGCCAACTAGACATCGAGCCGTTGATCACTACCCTTTGAGCTTGACAATCTAGCCAGCTTTCTATCCACCTTATAGTTCATTCATCCAATCCATACTTCTTTAACATGCTGGCAAGAATACTGTGGGAGACTGTATCAAAAGCTTTGCTAAAGTCAAGGTATATCATGTCCACTGCTTTCCCCATATCCACAGAGCCAGTTATTTCATTAATCAGGTTGGTCAGGCATGACTTGCCCTTGGTGAATCCATGTTGACTGTTCCTGATCACCTTCCTCTACTCCAAGTGCTTCAAAATGGATCCTTGAGGACCTGCTCCATGATTTTTCCGGGGACTGAGGTGAGGCTGACTGATCTGTAGTTCCCTGGATTCTCCTTCTTCCCTTTTTAAAAGATGGGCACTATATTTGCCTTTTTCCAATTGTCCGGGACCTCCCCTGATCGCCAGGAGTTTTCAAAGATAATGGCCAATAGCTCTGCAATCACATCAGCCTACTCCCTCAGTACCCTTGGATGCATTGCATCCGGCCCCATGGACTTGTGCATGTCCTGCTTTTCTAAACAGTCCTTAACCTGTTCTTTCACCACTGAGGGCTGCTCACCTCCTCCCCATACTGTGCTGCCCAGTGAAGCAGTCTGGGAGCTGACCCTGTCTGTGAAGACCGAGGCAAAAAAAGCATTGAGTACTTCAGCTTTTTCCAAATCATCTGTCACTAGGTTGCCTCCCCCATCCAGTAAGGGTCCCACACTTTCCATGATCTTCTTGTTGCTAACATACCTGTAGAAACCCTTCTTGTTACCCTTCACATCCCTTGCTAGCTGCAATTCCAATTGTGCTTTGGTCTTCTTGATTACACCCCTGCATGCTCGAGCAATATTTTTATACTCCTCCCTAGTCATCTGTCCAAGTTTCCACTTCTTGTAAGTTTCCTTTTTGTGTTTAAGCTCACCGAAGATTTCTCTGTTAAGCCAAGCTGGCCGCCTGCCATATTTGCCATTCTTTCTGAACACCGGGATGGTTTGTTCCTGCACCCTCAACAAAGCTTATTTAAAATACAGCCAGCTCTCCTGGACTCCTTTCCCCCTCATATTAGCCTCCCAGGGGATCTTGCCCATCAGTTCCCTGAGGGAGTCAAAGTCTGCTTTTCTGAAGTCCAGGTCTGTATTTTGCTGCTCTCCTTTCTTCCTTTTGTCAGGATCCTGAACTGGACCCTCTCATGGTCACTGCTGCCCAGGTTGGCACCCACTTGTACTTTCCCTACCAATTCTTCCCTGTTTGTGAGCAGCAGGTCAAAAGGAGCATGGTCCCTAGTTGGTTCCTCCGGCACTTGCACCAGGAAGTTGTCCCCAACACTTTCCAAAGACTTCCTGGATGGTCTATGCACTGCTGTATTGCTCTCCCAGGGGTGACTGAAGTCCCCCAGGAGAACCAGGGCCTGTGTTCTAGAAACTTCAGTTAATTGTCCGAAGAAAGCCCCGCCTACCTCATCCTCCTGGTCCAGTGGTCCACGACAGACGTCCACCACGGCAAAACCCTTGTTGCTCTTGCCTCTAAACTTTACCCAAAACCTCTCAACAGGCTTTTCTCCAGTTTCATACTGGAGTTCTGAGCAATCATACCGCTCTCTTACATATAGTGCAACTCCTCCACCTTTCCTCCCCTGCCTGTCCTCCCTGAACAGTTTATATCCATCCATGACAGTGCTCCAGTTATGTGAGTTACCCCACCAAGTCTCTGTTATTCCAATCACATCATAGTTCCTCGACTGTGCCAGGACTTCCAATTCTTCCTGCTTGTTTCCCAGGCTTCTTGCATTTGTGTACAGGCACCTAAGACAAGTTGGGTAACCATCAGCTAGAAAAACTTCATTGCTACCGTATGTTGGGCACACAGCTGGTGGTCAGCAGCAGGGTGGATGGAGATGCTGGCCATGGTGCAGTTCTCCCCCCCCAATAATCGGACAGCCAAACCAAAATGGCCATAACTCAGCAAAACACAGTCAAATTTTGAAATCATTGGCACATGCTGGCAAGCAGATGGGCTCCCCAAAGCTGGCGTTAGGGCCTTAGGCTCCCTCTTCAATGGTTGGGGAGAGCCAGGCACCGAAGACAGGGCTCCGCGAAA